AGGGGGGGGGGGGGAGGATCGGAAAGAGGAGAAAGGGAAGGAGGACGATGGTTCGGGATGGAGCGGGCTCCTCTGACTGGCGCGGTGTGTACACGGTGTGTGACCCGAGTCGCCATATTTCAAAGTGGGGCGTCCTCCGAGGGGCCGTGAATACCTTAATAGTCATAAGGTGTATCCGCATACGGCTGGTATATGGAGTTTGTCCCCCTAAAACGTATTCGAACGCTCCGTAGCAGCCGGCTGCACGATACGACAACCCTGGACGAGCGTTCCGTATTCTACGTGAGAATACGGCGAGGAACGACACGGGAGAGCGGCCGCGCTAAAGTGGTTATGCCTCCCACGGAAACGGCAATAGCCCGCGCGATACTCGCGCGATTGGTACTCGCTGTGCACCGGGGTATTACGGCCGCGCACGGTGCTTCGCGAAATTGCACGGATAATTTGCAACGCCGCCCCGCAGATTGCCGTGGGGAGTGAGTTCATCCGACTTATTGGCTTTTCACCGTCTTCACGGCGCTCGATCTTCACGGGGGTGACCTTTGCAAATCGGAAAATGGCGGGAACCACGCTGGAATTTGGACAAAACGGATTATCGGAGAAATTAAGGGAGAGTTCGAGGCTGTGATTCGGTCTCTTTTGCATCGAGAAACCAGTTTGGTTGTATTAATTGGAAAACGGGCGGTTATATTGATTGAAGGTAGAACCAAAATTTCGTTCTTACAACCGGAAATGTTTTCCTTCCAGCGAAATTGCGTTTGATCGTCCATTTTTCTCGATCGATGCAACCAAACTGGTTTCTTCAGTGTGGCTCTGTGACGTTTACGGCGCTGGAGGGTTGGCTTAAATCTCCTAACGGCCGTCGACGACAGCAACGAAACTGATGCTCGTCATCATTTCCGGAGAATACCATCCAGTTTATCTAGTGGGTTGGCGTACACGTTAAAAAAAATTAACTGTCGCGAAACGAGTGAATCTGTTATGCATGCCTACATACGACACATACGGCCCGGCGCTATTTAATAATGAGAGACTCTCTATTACTCAATAGCTATTAGGAAGAACGCGCTGGAGGGGTGGCTTTCGGTTCCACTTGGTTCACGGTGCAATCGGTTAATCACCGCTCTCTCATCCCCAGCCCGCGCCTGAGACAAGGTTTAAGCGTCGACGTTGCCGCGCGCCCTTTGGCCCTCCCACCGGTCCCCATATCAATTAATCTTACCCAGAATGCAATAACTGTCCAATCTGCTCCCGTGGCTGTGTCATGGTGTCGTGCAGTCAGTGCTGTAATGTCCTCTCTCTCTCTCTCTCTCTCTCCTTCTCTCTCTCTTTCTCCATTTATCTCTTTGCTCATCCCTCTCTCTCTGCCTCTTTTGCGGACGAATTTTCCGACTTTCTCTATTCACCTTTCCTCGTCTTACTCGTCCTTTAGTCCTCATCTCTGCAATAATCTACGCGACTGATGCATACGATAAAAGCAGTAAAACAGTCTGCGGAAAATCTCACGTCCACCCTAACATCGCGCTCGTACGCTCCTGAACGAAATAATGAGCGCGCGAAGAGGGGAGGAAAAGCGGTCGAGTCCGGGGAAACTCGGCAGAAAACATATTGGGCCGTTAAGGGGGTTCTTCGGGGTAGTCTGCTTAATTGGCACGGCCGTTTAACCCTGAATTACAGCGAGTGAAGCTGGAACGATCGTGATCCGGCAGTGCCAGATTCAACGACCTTGATTAATCGAGCCATCGGACGAAGGGCGAGCGCCGTCGAAAGTGAGATGGCCTTTGCCCATTGAGTGCTTGTGGATTTTTACTCGTATAAACATGGCTTACCTTTTCGCACGAATTTCCGTGGTTACGGCAATGATTACGACGGTGGTGTAAACAACGAACACAAATTCGAAGGGAAAGTAAAAAATGGCACGAGGGAATTTCAAGGGTTCGCTGGACGAAAGACACGTTTACAAATAGTAACAGCGTTTATTGTTAATAATAATAATAATGACAATAATATTAATAGCGAGTCTCTAATTACAATAATTACATAATGATATTAATGGTACAACAATAAAAACTTCGATAGCGAGAAAAAGGGGGAGAATATAATAACTTTTTGGTGAGACCTCGGCGAGCGAACCGCCCCGCCCCGTTAGTCGGCACTCTGCGTCGTAAGAGCCCGTCTCTATTTATAATATTTATAGCTTCGAGTCATTCATATTTATATTCATATTTATATATGTATATATTTATATGCTTAGACTAACCGTGATACGGTCTACGTGCTATTTACAGTTTTTGGTCACAGTTTGCAACTTTAGGGATTTGGGTTCAACGCCCTTTCTTGAACGACAGGTGCGGGAGATATGCAAAATACAGTACGCTCTTGCCGTACTTTGACACGTTACACGCCATTCGACGATCATGCTATTCAAACGTCTGTTCTTAATTCCGAGAAGGATGGGTAATTTAAATGAAATCACCGACCCTCCGGACATAAACGATAACCTAATCTGGAATGGATCTTCGTTTATAACTGGTGTATTGATTTTGATATCTCATATAGTAACTGTGATCGTTTAACATAATTGCTGAAACATAATATCGAGTTTCTACCGGAAGATCTGACTAGCTTGAAGGCCGCACCGCGTGTAGTGAGGATATCTACGTAAGAAGAGAAGTTACAGTAACAGGTGATCCATTAGCAGTAGGTAGGACGTCGATTAAAGTAGCAAGTGGTTAGCCCGTTATTCGTTAACAAAAACAGTCCGTCCGCCCTCGCGTATTCGCAACTTATAAATAGCGATTCGTCAGAAAGTTCTTTTGCCCGCTGAAGGAACGAAACTTTGGGCGCGCTCCATTGTTCAGGAACGAAAACGGATGCAACACTCCTCCTCGTGGGATATCCGGCCGCGACAAATCACCGATACACTTCCTCCACTTCGTCCTGAGTCCTGTATTCCGCGAGCCAAGAGTCCTCGAAGGCCGTCGGACACTCGCCTAAGATTAACGGTCTCGACGTGAAACAAACGGTCGAATAAATATTAACTTATACAGTCTCCTCGCACTAATGTCGAAAAATCCGAGAGAACAGCCCGCGATAAGAATGCCGGAGAGTTCCCCCTTTCAGTCGATTCCCGTCGTCCCCGAGAATTCATTCCCGAATTGCACTCTTCCGATTTATTAATTTCGCGTGTACACGCGCTTGCTCGTGCGATCTGAATTTATGTTTGCTTTTTCTTCTATGAAAAACTGCATTAAAGTATTTTCGATCACTTGTTAACAAATATATATTTCGATTCTTTCTACATGATTGTGTTGTAAATTTCGGAATGTTTGGATACAGATCAGACGTGTCATTTCGACATAATTAATTACTCGTTAACAAGGAAACATGTTGAACAAAAAACATAGGAAACAATTCGGAGGATGCAAAGAGAGTTTAGTACCTCCCGATAAGCAATGTCTCTCTCTCTCTCGTCGTAAGACGATACGCAATTCTCAAAGACAATTATAACTCATGCTTCCATCCGCGAGATCTAATTTATCGTCGCAACACCGTCATCATCAATGACCGGGGCGACCGTCATTCATGATTTCACCGGCGAATCGTTCTCACAGTGATTAAGTCCGTGACACGGTCCGGCTCTTTGATTCGTGGAGCGGCCGCTGATCGCGACGATCCTCATCGTCCACAGAGAGACTCGGCGAATTGTCAATCGGTTGCCTCACGGCCTCACTGCATCATCGGTGGATTTCCACTGGACAGGGAATTTTGCCCGGGAATAGAACCAATCGGCGGTCGATGCGACGCGTTGAGGTCGGCGTGCTGGGTTTCGCGATGCCTCCTCAAGTCGACCTTGCGCTGGAAAGCTCGGCCGCAGAGCTCGCAGGCGAACGGCTTGAAGCCCGTGTGTTTCCTCGAATGCGTGATCAGGTTGCTGCTCTGCGAGAACGCCTTGCCGCACACTTGACACTTATGAGGTTTCTCGCCTGCGATAAAAAAGAAAATGAAAAATACTTAGAGTAATTAATTCTTTCAATTTACACATTTCAATCGACATCCAATCATACTTAATTGTGAATGAACTAACAAACGACTATACTTTTTATGACAAATAGATAATTGTGATTGTTATTAATTAATTGTAAGTTAGTATGATTATATTTTATGCGGTATAAATAACAGTATATATTTATTGGTCGTTACATGATTAAAATATATTGTTATTATTATAATTAGGAAATTTATTGTATTCATATCGCTTCTATGTTTCGTGTAATCAAGCGTTTCAAGGTAAGACATAGTTTTTCATTATTCGTTGACCACCTGTCGAAAACTTTTACACCGTACAATACAAATCGGAAACACCTGAAATTGGGGAAAGCATCGAAAAATCCTAACTAGAAAAATTCCATCTTTCACCCACGTCGCCCCATAATTTTCTCTTCGCCAAACAACGAAACATCCAATTGCCCTTGACTGTGGAATTCCATTTTTCTACATATTTACGAATTCACCGGCACGAGCGCGTCGTTCATGCTGTCCGATCTATCTAGAGAGATGCCGCATCGCCGAGCGCAACAAACTTAAGGAGGGAATCGAGGGAAACTCCGGGGGCGCAATCTAGCTTCCCTCTTACGTTCGCCTGCCACATTCCAGCGAGCATGCACGTTAATCCCGAAGTACCGATTTTCAGTGCCGCCGGTTCTATCCCGCTCGGTCAAGACTCTCCACGGGTGAGAAAGGGGCCCGGGGGGAGGGAGACGAAGGCTAGCCACCTCGCAAGACGACTGTAGGTGGCATCAGCGATGCGGGGCACGCCCGGTTAAGATTTCCTCCCAAGCGAGAATCTCAGCCACCCCGGCGGCGGAGAAAAGGGAGAAAGAGACAGACTGAGAGAAAGCGAGTGGTGGAAAGGGTGCCGCTGTGTGCGCCGCTGCAGGGGGTTCCTCGTTTCTCAGGGGTGAGGAGAGGAGCCGGGGGTGGAAGGGTCGCCGCTCGTTTCTCTCATCCTGGCCGCGAGCTCTGATTGGCGGCCGGGGGCGGCTCCAACCCCCGTGTTACCATGACTACCGGCGGGATAACCCGGCTGCTGCTGACTGAGGGTGAGAGAGTGAAAGAGGCTGCTGAGGGGTGGGTGGTGGCACGACGACGATGCGAACTATACGTTGCCGCTGGCGGGCAACGGAGGGCCCGTTAATGGACTCCCTCGTACGTCCATACGTCTGGCCGAGCAACCGGTACACACGTACACTCGCTTGCCCTCACCATCGGCACGGGCGGAGGGTGGATCCATAAACAACTCGTTAGCCGAGCCTTCAATCTCGCCCCGAGCCGATACGACGAGGCCGTCGATCGCCCTAGCGATTATACCCGGCCGCGATCTTGATTTCCTATCCGGGGAAAAAATATCGGCTGCTCCTTCCTTCGTGGATTTTCTCCGGGGCGGACGTGCTGATCCGCGCCTCCGCCGAAAATTCGAGGCAACGTGCGACGCGATCGCGATCTCGAGAGAGCTCGGTATGCAGAGGGTGGCTCGATGGGATTTCTCTCAGATTGACGCCCGGCGTCCTCGTGGTTTCGAGCGTCAGAATGCGTGAGAATTGTAATTTTGAGTTCGGTCGAATTTTTTCTCGGGGGAACCGCCGCAACAATTTTCCCGACTTTTTAAGGCTCACGTCACTTTTGAAGGGTGTAATATCATTTCTCTTAAAATCGCCGGCGAAATAAGCATTACTGCAGAAGCCTCGACGAGAAGCGAGAGAATCCCCGGTCTCGTCTTATCAACGCCCGTCAAGTTTTGCGTATCCGACGTGTCTCGCACGCAGTCATTTTATGCGAACATCGGCCGCATAGTTGCACTGCCCTTCGGATAAAGATTCACTCGCGGATTCGGAGTTAAGGGCGAGCTTTTGCGGGGGGGGGGAGGGGGGGCGGATGGGGAGGTTACGTAGGAATCCGACGAGTCCGCCGCTCGATGAAATTCCACGCGAGTTCTCCGCGGACCCGACGAGGGTGGGACGAAACGCCGGAACGGATAGAATTTTCGCGGAGTTAAGCGCCAGTGGAAGCCAGAACGGGGATGGCGCGGGGGAGCGGCCGTTTGAAATTTATGAGCTCGTAAAATCAAGAACCGTCCGAGCGCTCGCACCGAGGTTGCCCGTTTCGCGTCTATATCGCAACGACTTCGCCATGGTTACGGAATATCGCTTGGCAGAAGAACCGAAGATACCTCTTTTTTTGGTGTCAACCCTTTGCGTACGACTGATCGGCTAATAGATCTTGGAATTTCATTTGTCGTAGACAAAGGCGTAACAGGATGAAACGAAAATAGAAAATCAATTTTCGCTCGAAATATGAAACGTTAACAAAGATAGCTTCTTCTAATCTGTAAGAAGGAAATTTCGCACACTTTCCTTGCGATCTTCCGGCCTGTTATAGCAGAGAGTCGCTGTGTTTTGCCTGTAAGTAAATGCGTATAAGTTGGGTGTAAGTAAATATATATGTTTACTTATGTGCAACCTGTATTTCATTCTACGGCGTGCTTCTTTGCGGGCCGCTATTCAAAGATAATGCCGGCATTTTTGTTCTTTCATATCGCGGGTACAGCTAGCGCGAATTGCGGCATTTTTTAGCGGCCAAGGGGATATTAGGTTCCACGTTTCGTACGCGGATGGTGAGGGCGGCACTTTAAAATATCATTTCCTTGAGAAAACGAAGGATTAAGGGGGCCGGCGGGGAGGAGAAGGAGAGACGGGGGAGGGGAGAATAATGTGTAGAAATGGAACGCCGGGTCTACTGGGATTCTCGTTCCTCGGAAACGAAGTAAAGAAGAGAGAGACAGAGCACAGAAAAGAAGAGGAGCCGCCGGAAATTTACGCGCTCGTAAAAATCAAGAGCCGTCGGAACTCTCTTGGATCCGTCGGGTTTATTTCTTCTGCGGAATTGCCTGTGTCAAAATACCCCCGCTTTAATAAATTCGTTGGAAGCAATGCGCATTACCCCGAGACGATGCGCATCGCACGCGTAAATAACGCGATTCCTCGCCGCCATTATCGCCGACGTTTAATTGATCAATCGGGTTGGTAACTACGTTCATTATTTCTCGGAGAAAATTTCACCGACCGTGACGTGGATTATTTTATTATTTCATTTGCATAACTTATGAATGCCAATATCTTCCCTCGCGAGGGAATAAATAAGACAGCGCAGTTGTCTCGAGAACGTGACCGGAACGATGATCGATGATCAATAATACTCGGAATTTCCGAGCGCGAGAGCGAAAACGAAAAAACTCCCGAAAGCGGAAGCGAGAGAGGAGAGAAATGTAGAAAATGGTTGGCGCAAGCAGAATGTACGTGATCCTATGCGCGCGTGAGAAGAACGTCTAAATGGCGTTTAATTCTTTGAGTGCCATAAAATACTTATCGGTATTAATCAATTTTATATTTCACAGCCGGTCTTTTACGTTGTAGAAGTGCAATTTTCTGCATCTTCAAGTACTTTTTCTCAATTTATACGTAAGAATAAGGAAAACATTGCGTTTACTTGAGTTATTATCTCAATATAAAATGTGTTGTCATTACACAATATAATTATTATAAATTGGTAGTTAATATCGATCAGAATTCTTTTCTACAGTGAATTAAATAGTATTCCCCGGCATAGATGAGGCTCGGTGATGTAAAATAAAACGACCTAACGGCAGATTGCGATAAATCAGCCTCGGCGAGGTGAGCGCATCAATTTCCAGGGCGTGATTCGATCAGCAATCGGGGGATCGCGGAATCGTGAATTCTGCGCGCGGTTTCAAAGAGAACAGAATAGAAAAATTTCCAAATGGTGCAGAGACCGGAGAGAAAAAAGCCGAGCGCGCCTCGCGGAATTTACGCGCTCGTAAAAATCAAGCACCGTCGGAGCGCGCCCTTATCCCCGTAGCGAGAGAGCAGCCACAACGCGGGGGTGGGGGGGGGG